CAAATAAACAATTTTTAACCCAAATGAGGGGGCAGGTCAGGAGACCAGACAAAACCGCTTTACACATATTGCAATCTAAAGTTCTAATCCTTCCACCCCCTATGTTCTTTAATTTTCGGATTAAGGTATGCCGAACAGGGTGAAATATGCCGTCAAATATGTACGGTACTTTAAAATATTATATGATGCGTCCAGGAGATCTTAAAATATTTTATGATGTAATTTTACTTTTAGAGTGTTAATTTTTTTCAGAACCATTTACACTTTTAGCTTGTCATCAACTTTTCAAAACTCTATTAAATGAACGTATATCAAATAACATAAAGTAGCATATTTTAGGGTATTGGACAGATCTGAAGAGATATATCTAATTATTAGATGAACTACAAAATACTTTATGGTATATGATGCACTTAAACAAATATTTTAGGATGTTAAAAATACCACAAAATACTTTAAGATACTTGACTCATTTAACAAAATACTTTAATATGGCGCATGCACCTTAATCCTTAATTTTTGGGCATAAGACGGCTAAAAGTAAGAGCCAAGTGGGGATTAGGTCCCATACAATCTTTGTCGCATGCCGTCAGAAGATGAGGCAGACAATCACGGAAAATAGAAGAGCAGAACAAGTCCACATTTGCTAAGGCTTTGTTTGGATTTCCGTTGAGACAAAAAAAAAACAGTGTGAAATGTTAGTTGGTGGGTTATTTCAACATTCGTGTGTTTTTTTTTTTGGGGGGGGGGGAATACAGTACGGTAAAAGCAAAAAAAAAAAAATTGCGCCTTTTCAAAACAAATGAGAATCTAAATAAGTATCAATTTTTCAAACTAACTTTTGTAAAATTAATCCAAACATAAATTAAATTACACTATCTGATTTTTAATCCTAATTTAAATTTTTAAAAATCAACTGAAATAAAAATTATTTTTATCAATGTTAATCTAAACACACTGTAAGATGTTTTCAAGGTCCCAAGCGAGCTATAGTCCTTGCGAGCCCAATCCTTAGCTTCAAAAACATTGCAATATCGGGTTCCCATTTGGTACTCATCAGGTGATGAGCACCCAGTGCTCATCATCTAGTGAGCAATTTGGACCATCCAGATTTAATTTGGACAGTCCAAATTTAATATTATTAAATAATTATTTTAAAATAGAAAAAATTATATTTTTAAAGAATGATAGTTATGAGATTATCTTTATTTTTTATCTTATACTTATTAAAATAAATATTTTTAAAAAATAAAAATAAAAATAAATCTGGACCGTCCAGATCAAATCTGGACCGTCCAGATGGGTGATGAGCACTGGGTACTTATCACCTGATGAGCACCCAATGCAAATCCTTGCAATGTCCCAACAACTGATTAAATCCAACAATTCAATTTTCTTTATGATCTCTAATAACTTCTCCACATCCTACCTTATAGGGGTGTGTATAGATTAGACTAGACCGAGTTTGTTATCAACCCGAAGTCTGATCCAGTAAAGACCTCGAGCTGAAAAAGATAGCCCGAGGTCTGGTTCAATCCAGTACTAACCCGAGGTCAGGTTGGACTGGACTTGGTCTTTTGGACTACCTGGATCAATCCAGACAGTCCAGGACCTAAATTTAATTTTTTTAAAGAAAAAATTTCTTCAATAGAAGACAAGATTATAACTTACTATATAAAATTTTGCACATATTTTAATCCAAAGTTCATCAAATTTGATCATTCCCTTTCAATTTCCCAATAATGTCATGTTTTATTAATTAATCCTCATTAATATAGATCTTATATTGTAGAAAATATATATGCATGCTCATTATTTAGGAAGTTAATAGATAAATCTTGATAATTTAAATAGATAAAAAAACTTATATAGAAAAATTAAATCAAATTAAAATTATATAAATAATAATTTAAAAAAACTAGGCTAGACTGAACTGGACCAACTGGTCTGGAGGAGCCAGTCCCTAGTCCAGTTCAGCCTGATGAGACTAGTTCGGTCCAGTCTAGTCCAGTCTTGTTTCAGGCTAATTTTTTCTAGACCAGATTGGACCAAGTTTGCTTGAGTTGAACCGGATCACACCAGGCCACTGGGTTTTTGCACAGCCCTACTGCCTTACATCCTGCCTTGTTAGGCGAAAATGAAACAATACCATCAACGTTAATTTTAAAAGCATTAGCAAGAGAGGTTTTACCCTGCCACTCTAGCTCTTAATATAAGTTATTTATAATATATTTTCATACATAAAAAAATGTATTAAATTGACAAAATTTTCTAATTTTGCCCTTATTAAAGTTTTATTCCTCTCTATATACATTTATAAATCATTCTCATTACCTTTCCATTCTCTCTTTCTTTCGGATGAGAATTAAATAAGTATACCATTAAAATATAAGCATTAAATATAGTGCAAGTAACTTATATTTAGAACTAAAAATTTTTCTCATCAATGACCCTTTTTTAACAAACCTATAAATGACTTTTATTCGGAGCTAGAGTGATATACATTTCCCTAAGTAAGCTCTTTAAATTGGCTTATTAACAACATGAATTTTTTAACTATATTTATTAACTAATAATAATAATATAATCTGACTTACACCAATAATAATTCTATGTGTGTGTATTTATATATATATTGTGTGTGTATTTATATGTTTATAATATATATATATATATATATATATATATAGATCATCTTATCATACTCAAACTAGCCCTTACAAAAATAGGCATAGTTCAACAAGCTTGGTTGTAGGCTTGAGTTTCTTGGTTTGGTCAAACAGTACTGAGAATATAAGCCAACCTAATCTTTGGGGACAATCTTACAAAAGCTCAGGCTTAAAGGAACTAGCCTTATAAGGTTGAAATTTCATAAATGTCTCGTTTTGTTAGGCTTAGCCCTTAAAATGGCATGCTCAAAATCAGTCCATTGGTTTTCGGCCTATTTAAAGAAAAATATATAATTTTTTATATTCTCCGCATGTTTCATTGAAAAAATAAAAAATAAAGCAATGAAATTAGTAATAAAAAGCATGAATGTGAATAAAATTAAGTCACAAAAACAAAACATCATCATATCCAAACATTCATCAATATTCAAGAACATCTAAACCATCCATGAACAAGACAACAACATCCAAAAATTTTATCAACGGTGTAAATGTGCAATAAACAAAAATTATCATAAATTTTTTGAAACTTCGCTATCACTATCATTAAGTGCTCTTCTTTATGAGTATGCTTTTCTTTAAAGGTAAAAATGTCAAGCTTTTCTTCATAAAAAATTTTACTTTTAAATTTTACAATTTAGCTATTATTTTATTTTAATTTGAGATAAATTATCATTGAAACTCATAAATTTCTAATTCAAATCATAGAATCACAAGTTATATAAGTATAAATATATTCTCTTATCAAATATATATAGTTTAAAAATATCAACAGATATAATATAAATCAAAATATTATTAAAGTCCAAATTAACCTATTTTTTTAAAATTTAATTGAACAAATCATTGTCCGAAACTAAATAAATCAAACCATTTTATAAAATTTAATTAAAAAAGAATAATAATAACTGAATATTTGAAATATTATTAATAATATAAAATTAATAATAATATTAGCATTATATAAAAAAAATTAAAAAAACAAAACAATTATTGAAGGCCATAAATTGGCTCGCTCTCAGCCCTACATGACTGACCTGTTTAAACCCTCAGCCCCACAAGACTAACCTTTTTAAATCTATTTATCATTTAAAAAGAAAAATTATAAACTCGGCCCTCACACTTTTTGGCCCTAAACTGACATGCACAATTCAGCCCATTTTCCCAACCTATGGTCAAGCCATCTTTCTACATAGGTAAGGCTGAGCTCAGACCCCAACCTAGACCATACCCTCTTGATTGGCGTTTTTTGACCTCTCACCAGAGGTCTAATATTTCATCTATCGCTTATTATAAAATCTGAATGACTGATGAATCACATGTGGTTGACAAAAATTATTAAAGTTAGTTAAAAATAATAAATATGTATAGTATATTTTTATTTTCTAATTATGCTTATAGGTGGGTAAATAAGAGATAGTAATAATATGAAAAATGATGAAAGAGATAGTATGAAAAAAATTAAGAACATAATTAGTAAAAATGTATTTATTTAATGCTCAAATAATCTGATATTGTTAGTGTAAAAAGGGATGGAGTGGTTCAAAATTTTGGATTTTATAAAAAGAAATAGATGGAGTAAAGTACTCCTCCGATCCTTAATATAGGACATAATTGTTGAGTTGATTTTGATTCTAAATATAAGACTCATTTCTCATATTTATCAATTTTCTCTAAATTATCCCTATGGATACTCCCTCAACCATAATCAAGTAGAAGAAGGAGATGGGGTATTAAGAAAGATAATTATGGTATTTTAGGAAAAACGTGTCACATTTCTTATAATTAACTAACTTACCTAACTTCCTTAATCTAATCAAATTAGTTAAATGAGTCTTATATTAAGGATCGGAAGAGTAGTATTTATATAAGTTTGAGTAAAGTAGTATTTACATAAGTTTCTTATATTCATTAGATTCTCTAATCAACACATGTTCATGTATCATATTTTACTTATTTACATGTGATTGGAAAAGTGCAACTGGGCGGAGCATTTTCTCAGCATCAGTGCCAGCTCCCACAATTACATGCATGTACGGACGTGTCAGCCTCCAAATTTGATACTCGCACATCCTTATCTGTTACGTCGGCCATGAACAATTTTGTGAAGATCAGCGACGACAAAAGCCACTAGTTCCTCTCTCTCTCTCTCTCCCTGCCATTTCCCCATACCCTTCATCTCGTCATCTTCCTCCATCACGCACCAGAACCCGATGTGATAACATATATATATACACACATATACATACAAATACATATATAACAAGAAGCCGCCCAATAATATATTCCCGATCCAAATCTTCTGTCGTTTACCTCCCCACTCTTTCCAATATGCGGCACGCCGTTTCCGTCACCCTCCTCTATATATACCCCACATCCTCTCCCCTTCTTCCTTCACCAAGACGCAAAATTAACAAACACATTCTCAAAGCTTTCTTCGACATGGTGTTCACGATGCTAAACTCACCCGCCGTCACCCTGGCGACTTTCGTCACCGTCCTATTGGTCCTTGTTACGGCGTCGGATGGGAGGGTTATGATGGTGGGGGAGAAGACGGACATGGGAGACGTGAGGAGGAACAAGGAGGTGCAGGAGCTGGGGAGGTTTTCTGTGGACGAGTACAACGAGAGAGTCGGAGTAGTTGTAGTGTCACCAAAAGACGCCGTTTTTGCCGGAGGCGACTGCCAGAACGGAGTCCTAGGAGGACGGAAGAAGAAGGTGGAGTTCATGAAGGTGGTGGAGGCAAAGAAGCAGGTGGTGGTTGGGACGAAGTATTACCTGAAGATATGGGCTGTGGATGAGAAGGGACGTTACAGAGAGTTCGATTCGGTGGTGGAAGTGAAGCCATGGCTGACTCAGAATGCTAAGCAGTTACTTAGCTTTGCTCCTTCTCATACTAAAAGAGATCAGAAAGTTAACGATGATGAAGATGATGATGTTCTTAGTGATGAATCTGTGTTGAATAAGAAGCTTGTCTCAAGTATGTAGGGTGCCTCTCACGTTCTATATGTATATCGTCGCGCAGCTTTGCTGCTTATTCTTCACTGTCTTTTTTCCTTTCATGGCCAAAATTTGTATTGCGGGATTTGTAATTGAATGAGTTTTACATTTTCAATAAATTTCTTTTGCTACATTCAATATGTTCTTTATATTTCTTTAAAAAAGAACTTGGATTATCCGATAAAGATTACATAATCCTTGTCGAGATATGGAAAGCAAAAGACAATAATCCACCCATCTATGAAATGAGAGCTGGGAATCAAATATATTCTTTTTATTTAATTTAATGAGTATAGAGGTAGATATCCGAGTTTATATTTTTATATATATATATAAGAATATTAATTTGTAAATCCTTATAATTTCACTTGATTTTTGATAGGCTTCTGTGGTTGTTTTATTGAATTTTACAATTTTTTAAATTATAAACATTAGACTCTATGCTCATAATATGTTAATTAAAGTTGATACTAAACGACATGTAAGTTGTCACAAAATACAAATTTTAAAAAATTTTAAAAATAAAATGATAGAATATTTGTTATCATCGTATAAATAAAAAATTATAATTGTCTCCTTGCAACTATATATAATCCATAACCTGTATAATTTTGATTTTATTTAACTATTGTAGTAAAACTAATCTAGATGTTTATTAAGCATAAATCGTGTCAGCAACTACTAACCTTGTTTCTTTACTAATTAATAGTATAATAATGCATAATTAATCCAAATTTTATTCACAACACGGCTAAATATAGTTAGTGATTTCGGCTCAACGAATCTTTTTTTTCATAATAAACTGTTGACATCAGTCCTACATTTTTTTCTCTGTAGACCGAGGAGAAAGGGAGCTCAACGGAAAGAGGATTGTAGCATAAGAGAAGTAAGGAGCTCAACCTCTTTCAAATGTACATGGGTTCTAGCAATGCAATATCACAAATTCTTAAGAGCAAGCCTAAGCCCTCAAAGAAAATGTGTTGTCAACTTGTCATACTTCAACACTCCCCTTAGAAAAATCTGTTCTGGTCTTGACAGATAGGGCACTTTCAAATTTTGATCTTATCCCTCATAATCATTGCTTTAAGATGTCCTTCCTTCATTTTACTTTTGTCCCAGCCTTGCAAACGAGCTCTCTCATACTTCGCTTTTTACATCATCTATTATGCATTGGAGGTTCAAAAAGTCAAAAGATTTATGCCATAGAATGGAAGTATAAATATTAAAATTGATGGTGATTGTTCGATTATTCATACCATTACACCGAAATTTAAACAAATTTTCCCTTACAGAATATAAAAAGTAAGCTCCATTATGCCATATATTGATATGTTGATGGTTCTTGCCCACAGATTATTGCATGTGATAAGTCATTTCCCTCCTCTTCACCTGTTCCTTGAATTCCACAAGCAACGAAATTCCTCTCAGATCCAAAAACCTAAAAAGAAAACAAAAAACAAAAATATTTTGGGCAACTTATGGATATTTGCATCCTTTGTATCCATCCAAAGCAATGTTCAACAATGAATATTAGCAACCAAAGTAATGGTCCGAGAAACAGCTCCTTGGTATCCAACCAAAGTAATGCTCAACAATGAATATTTGCGAGGTAAAACCATTCTCATAAGCAAAAGAAAAATTTGCTAAGCTCTCATTTTCATTTGCTTCTCCAGCTATTTTGGGCCACTTGTGTACTAATTCATCATGGCTTCACCTTACAAACCTCTACCTTGAATCCACAATCCATAAGCTGAAGCAGCCAGGCTCGCTGCTGTTCGGAGAGGCGATCTTTGGGACCTTTAACTTCAACAAGCTTGGCCTCACCACTGTATTCCCCATGGAAACGCCATAGCAGTAAATCTGGCATTCCACTGGACCAGCTCTGATAGTCTTGAGCAAATAGTCTGCAGAGAGAGGCCAAACAGGGTCCTCCGACACACGCAACAGCAGCACGAAGCTCATCTAAAGAATGGCAATCCCAATTGACTCCTCTACATCTCGTACCATAATGTGTTTCCCATGATTTTATGAGAAATTCCTCAGCCATGCCATCATGAATTTGCCGAAGATGAGATTCTATGATACTCTTTCTCGCTGTATAAAATCCATCCGTGACAAGATCGAAAGGTGCAATCTGTAAATTTAAGGAGCTTTCAATCAGATTACCAAGTATGATTTAGAATGAAATAGGCACTCTTACAATTGAAGAAATATCAAATAATTCTTAAATTTCTTGAAATCATAGGAAGCATACATACACAAGGGAGAAAGGAACTGATCTCCCAATCAATCCCAATAAGCCATCTTTTTCTTCCTCAATTCATAGAATTCAGGGGCGGTAAGTTTATTTAAAGAGAAAAGAGAGAGAAAGGAAGGAGAATGTGCATAAGTGGGCTAGATACTCTCCCTCGTGTATTTACCCTGAGTTTACCCCCACAATTAAGGGTATCCATTCTTCATTTATCAGGGAAACACTGTCACTAAATTACTAGCTCACATGGTTCATGAGATTTGAGTGTATGATGGTTCGAGGATTTTTTACAACCGGTCTAGGTAGTGAAGGGACGATGAATTTGCAGAAACTCGGGTTGAGAGACTCTGGCCTGTTAAAAGTCAGTGGTGTCTACTTTTCCTTGTTATTCTCACTTGTTACTATTGTAATTCAGCTAGTTAACTTCCTGACTAATTCTTGGTTAGTGCAGGAGTATACTACCTCTAATCCTTAATATAAGAGTTAGTTAGAGATTCAGTTTAGTTTTAAATATAAGACCCTAATATACTTTATCTTCAATATTTATTCATTTTGCTCCTAGGTAATCCTTATAGTGATTGCACATGTTAAAGAGTTTTTATCAAAAGTTAATTCCAATGCACATAATTGATAAAGGTATTTTAGAAGAGATATCATCCATTTATTACAAATAGCTAATTTTCTTAATATCCGAAAATTAGTTATCCAGCTCTTATATTAAAGACCGAATGTAGTATAATACTATTCTTCTCGAAAGTTTCATCAAGTAACTGGGACCAAAGACCAATACAGTGTAAGATGAAGCAAAGATGGAAAGTTTAATTACTCCAATAAAATGTACCTGAAATCTATTGTAGAAGACATTTGGTACATCTGCAAATATGATGTGCCACATAAGAAGCCCAAAAATGGTCAGCCATATACCACTTTCTGTATGAACACCCTGCCATCCGCCTTCCATCTCAACGTAATAATGCAAAGCAAGCTGTTCCACTCCACACTGCTCCCCCTCTTCATTATAGAACCTGTTCTTAGCACCCAATTCAGAATTCAAAGGTCTCCCTTGAACATAAACCTGAATCATAGAAGCAGTCACAATAGAAAAGCCATAATATTACCATAATGATCAGCGATTTTGACAATTCTTTTCGACAAGCAAATCAGAATCCTGAACAGGCAAACCATGAAATCACTAAATTGACAGTCGTTACCTCCGTGATCTCCCTGTTTATGGACTTTGAAAAACTTGGAACTTTCCATCTCCTTGGTGGTCTTCCTAAGCGAAGAACCCGTCTTTGAAGTGCCACTCTTGAACCAGCACGTATCCATGGATCAAGCAACCCATTTTCAGCTACCTGAAGGCTCTCATCAATATAGCCTAGGTGCTCCAAGTCAACAGATAACCTCAGCGTCCAATATCCTCGTCTTACATCATGTGTGAAAAAACTCAGCAGCTGCTTCAATAAGCCAATTGCATCACTGTACCTGAGAATACAATTAGATAAATAACTGCAATCATATAACAGTGTCGGTAGAACTATGAGCTACATCATAAACTACACCCATTTTTATGTTGATAAATCCAAACCAAGAGCATTACGATATTATTATGCTATGTGCTGTTGCAATGTTGTCCAAATGTAGTTAGTCGCAGATGCTAAACTGAGAGCCTATCCCGCATCCACTAATATGACTCCAACAGATAGCCTTGCTTCAGACCAAAATTGGGTTAATTCATTATGTTATTAAGTGGCAGAGAAGAGGAAAAATTCTCTCCTCTCACAAGAGCAAATTCTCTACCCCGTGAGAGCACAAAACGCCCCTTGGTGAGTGACTTCCATCGGTGTCCTCTCCCCAGCAGCGGTCATGGAAGAGTGAGTCTAGTGTATGCGCGTTGGTGTGTGCGTGTGAGTTGGAGATTTTGCAAGATCTGAAGATGAGGGCGAGTTCTGTAGTTTTGCTAGTTATGGATTTGAAGGAGGAAGATTAGCGGATAGCATGATTAAGTGCCTCAACAAGAATGGCGAAGACGAAAACAGAACACAAATTGTGAATCGATGGGAACAGCATCAGAGATGGTGAAATCTGAAAGCTATTTTGGTCAGAGGAGAATGGGTGAAGGAGAGTTCTTTGTGTTGCAAGCAGTGCTGCCTTGATGTAAGTCTGTTCCATGGGATTCTTTTGCCTTGGCCTTGTGAGGTAACAAGATCTCGTACTCTTTCTACTAATAGCCTCTTTGTGAAGTCCTTTTGACCATATGGTATGATTAATTGTTCTCAAGTGTGTGTTGCGCTAGTTCGTCTGATTTATGCTTCTTGGTGGTTTTGGAATATGAGGAGAACTTTGGTTTCTGCTCAAAATGATTGTTGCTGCTAGTTTGTACCGTTGGTTTTATCTGAGATAGTGCTTGCCATAGTTTTTTCAAAGGTTATAGGGGGCTTTAGTTTATTTTCCTTTTGAGACAAAGATATCTTTTGGGGAGATGCCGTTAGCTTGGGATTTTTTGGTAGTTCATTTGTTTACTTTGCTTCAATCTTTGCAGAATGGAAGGTTCAGAAGTTTAGTTTCTTTGTGGCAGTGAAAAGGGCTGCACTGAAAATTAAGGATGATTTAAGATGGGTGCCGCCTGGCTGTCTTTGGTCTGTATTTGATTTTAGGAATTTAGTGTTAGTAGTTGCTGGGATTGATGGTTCTGGTTTAAGAGAGAGGATTGCTTCTGCTGTGGCTTTGGAGATTGGTCACTGATTGACTAGAAATCTAGAGGATAAAAACCTTCTGGTTCTCTGTGTTGAATTTGCTCAACTTGGCTGTGGTTGGTGGAGCTTCTTTCTTGAGAGCATGATCCCTTTGGAATTTGTTGCTCTCTCTTGCAACTTAGCTTCTTTGGATGAGCTAAGAAGTTTTGTAATGGATTTGTGGCCTCTATGGTTGGGTTTTATGCCCCCCAATCCCAGTAATTTCTTCTTTTGTTTGTTGGTTTCTCCTCTTGATGGATTGTTAACTGGTGCATCTTTGCTTGCCTGGTTTTGTGATTGTTTTGGTATGCAGCTTCAAGTACATTAAGGGTATGTGTTCTTGGATGGATTTTTCATCTTCTCCCCTTCTCTGTCACGGTTTGTTCTCAGCCACCGCTATAGGAGTGAACCAGATCTGTTCGTTCTCAACTGCTGCTCTAGGAGTGAACCAGCTTGTTTCTGCTATTTCATAGTTTTTTTCGGTTTCTATTGTTTCCTTTGCCTTTAAACTTTGAGTTGTTCTGTTTTGTTTTTATGATATTATATACTTTTTCTGACCCAAAAAAAAAAAAGGGAAAAAAGTGGCAGAGAGCAGATGAGAACAAAGGAAAAGCTAAAGTACAGCACTCTGCTTTAGATAAGATACCCCATTAACTAAACACTAAAGTTGAAACACAACAAAAAGAAAATTGACATAAAATTATACTACCTCCAGTCCTAATATAAGAGTTAGTTGGGAGGTTGAATTTGATCTTAAATATAAAACTTCAATTTACTTTGTCTCCCAAACTTATAATTCATTCTCCAAACATGTTAAGTGAGTTTCCATCCTAGGATAGTCATAATTAAAAAGGGTATTTTGAGGAGATCAACTCCAAAATATAAGAGCTAGTCATATCATCATGAGTTGAGGGGTTTCTTAACCGATAAACCCAGTCATCTAGGGATTTCAGGCCCTGCCTCAACATGCTGAGCCCAGCCAAAATGCTGTGTGTCATTATATGTTTGGGCAGCTGAAATCAAACGGATGTAGGTGTGATCCCATATGCAGAATTGGTACTTGAATACAAAGATAAGTTCATGAAACTGTAACTAAATAGAGAAAGGAGCAAGTGCCAGTATATTCAACCTAGAATCTCCATACCTGCGCAGTTGCTCAAGAAATGAAATCCCTAACGTGACCACTTTGGAATGTACCCATGATGCAGTATATAAACAACGAAATGAAACTACTGATTCAGCAGTCGAGTACTGGATTGGCAAAACAGTAGACACATGGGATTCAGCAATCTTTATGCATTTCAATACCAATTCATTGTCATGTGTATCAAGAGCTTCATCCATTATCTGAGCAACTTCAATGGCCTGTAAAACTAGTTGATATAAGTGTTTGTGTCTTGAGGTGGCAATAAGAGGCAAATAGTATCTCTGAAGTCTGAAACACAACATATACCTCCTCGTACAAGAGCAGGTCACTGCGGTTTGAGAAAATTGGTTCTGATGTTATGCAACTATAAGTTGGATACTTAACTTTTCCCATGTCAACAAGCAGAAACGTTGAGAGATCCTGCTCTCCATTTAGGAAAAAAAGCCTCTGTGGCAAATACCAAAGCGTTAAAATTATCACGTTTAACTAAATTCTTCCATAAGAAAGAGCAACTGAAGGAAACAAACAAAAGAACCTCAGCACGCCACATGAGAGTTTCAGCTTTTGAAGCTATTTTGATACAGGTGCCAGTTCTATTCAAAATCTCAGTTGATAGAAACGGCCTGCACAGAGAGAACCAAAAAAAAAAAAGACGCTTATTTGCTATTAAATATTATATTAAGATTATGCATGGGCCTTCATTTAAATGCAAATTACTCAATTTGAAACAGTATGTGACATGATATCAAGAAGCCTCTATGACCAAGTGGTGAGGACAACGTATAAAGGTGAGTCTCTGCCTTGTTCACAATTCCAGCCCAAAGTGCCTTTGTGTTAGGCACTGGTTAATATCTAAAAATAAAACTAATCATGAATTTTCACTGAAAAAGTTTAAACTTTTGAGTTGAAATGATCCATGAAAGGCTCCATTAAAAGTTATCTATAAGACAAGAAGAACAAAAATTCTGAATAGTAAATACCACAGTCCATCAGCGTATGAAGAAAGAAGAGATGCAACAAGATCTTGCTTTCTCAACCCACGATTGCAACTCTGGAACATTATCAGAAAACAACAGAAATTTTATATATAGATCAAGAAGAAATAAAGAGAGATCTGTAGTGCCTCCTACTCATGCCTATAGAGAAACACTGTATGATGTTTAATTGTTTGGCCCGTATCTGTCCACAGGAGGTCTCTTACTCTGTAGTCATCAGAAGCCATTCATCAATTTAGGAGCATCTACTAGAGATACAACCAAATTTAGGAGGATCCATCCAAAATGCTCCAATTAATAACACAACAATGCACAAAAATACTGGTTTCCATCATAGCTAAAGGTAATAAAAGATATGAAAAAGAAAATAAGAACACTGTTTGCGTCAGGTCTACATTCGTGAAACATAGCTAGCAAAACTGAATCAAATAGGTATTGTTTGAAGCCTGAACGTATTCTACAGAGGAGACAGTACAAGCTTAAAGGATAAGATAATAGTAGGGCAGCATATAAAACTGAAAAACGAAACTGAACGAGTAAAATTATCTTGTCCTGAAGAACAAGAGAATTAGCTCAAGCAACCCAATAATTGTTAGTGTTTATTAACAGAACAAAGTTTTCATATAGAAAACATTTTTTTCAGCCCAAAATGCAGAATGATATCCCATACAAGGTCCTTGTAAGGGAAGAGATATTCACTAAAACTGCGCTCCAACAAAACAACCCATGTAAACTAGACACTTGTTAAGTCTCGGAAAAAGCTTGCACCCCTTGTTTTTAATAACTCAACTAATTGTAGAGAAAACATTCACATTCGACTTTTTATCTCAACCCACAACTGCTCCTCAAACTTGGTAAATTCATTAACAGCCAAGCAACCTAGAAAACAAGAAAGCTTCCTACATAGAGTATTAAATAAAATCATATACTGATTTTTTTTCTTGGTGGGGCAAATCTAGCTTAATACTCAACATCATCAACTTCCTTATCCCGATTTAGTGAGTTCTCTGAAACAGGAAGCAAATGCTTAACCCATTAAACATTCAACAGACAAATAGATTGCCCACAACAGATTTTGTCATGGAAAAATTAGTACTACTTTATGTGCATCAAAGAAAACAACTATCCATTCCTAGTACGGCATATTTGATTCCTAGATTCAAAAATTTGGATTCCTATGAGTGTGAATCTTGTACACAATGCAAGAGCAAAGACCATGATATATAGCAATTTTTTGTGAAAGCTACCGATAGTCAGTGCTGTTTATCCAAAGTCAAGTTGCATCATCCCCCAAATGAGGCAATGCTCTCCTACCATAATTTTTTTTTTTAATACATCAAATTTAAACCAGCCCCTTAATCAAAGGGTATCAAGTCTTTCCGCTTGACTTAATCGGCAGTAGTAGCAATTTTAATCCTCCAATAATTAACAAAATCCATTTATGCATGAAGTTTGAAATTAAAATAAACTACGGACACAAAAATGGCTATAGAATCTAACCTTTTCAAGAAGACACCAAATTTCACGTAGCTCAGAGACCGTGAGCGTATTCAAAATATCTTTCATCTCACTTTCACATACATGGTCTCCATCTTCAACATAACATACATATCCTTTGTCTGTAATATGACAATACCAAAGACAGGTCACCAAAAGCTGGTGATATTTTTTATGAAAACGAAAGCTAATTGTATTGGAAGAGAAAGAAAAAACAAATCTTATAATAACAAGCCTTATCCCACTAGGGGTAGTTGGCTACACAAAACAAATCTTACAACTTTTATTAAATTACCAGCAAGTCCCTTCGCTGCTTTTTGAACATCTATTATTTCAGTATAGGATATACAAGACATTCGAAACCAAGGCCCTAGACAAGAAAACAACATAAGATGTTTGTCAAGTCCAAAAGCACAACAATAAAACAGACTAAAAAGGAAAGTCAGTAGAAGCATAACTCAACATTATAAATATTGCAACATGTAAACCAACAGGAAAAGTTCTCAACTTTTGATGCAAGCATTGGTTTCCAAAGAGTAGTAATAGAAGCATTTCTACTGAATGCATGATTCTTCCACAGAGGACTGTAAGTTTCATAACATGAATAAACAATGGAAGACATTTGGATTATCAGAATATTGATGATCTGTTATGAGACAGCTTCAGTTTTTGCATGTCAATGACGGGCAGAGTCACAGATAGGGACAGATCAAGATTTTTTTTTGGGGGGTAATCACATCAAATATGGGGGACTATAATTAATTTATCATATTTTACAAAGAAAATTTCAGCCAATCTTAAAGAGAAGTGGGAAATATGGAGCCCCCTGAAATCCATATCTGGTGGCAGGAGTGTGGCATGAAAAAACAATTAAACCATGCCTTGGTTGGTGTCACTTGGACATTAAAGTTCTAATATCTTTGACTGGGCATCAAATTCTGGACAGTTGCTGAAAGTTTGATTTCATTCCTAACACCAAAATATCCGTACAAGTCTTTCACTTAGATCAATAAAACTCACCAACTTAAGACTCATGACATTTTACATTTCGTTCTTAATTAGAAATAGTGGCTCCTTCATCTATTTGTCCACTCATTTCAATTTCAATTAGATTTTTTGGGGTATTAGTTGAATCTTCAGTGTTTCTTCAGAGTTTAGAAAAGATTGTTTGATTAATTTTAAAGGTTTTTGTAGTTGTAAGGAGGGCAAAGTCTAATGGCAGCATGATTTATGCTCATGTGTAGTCATTTCGATTGCACTCATGTTTTGTCCTTTAGTATTTAGTTAAATCAGATTTTGAATGCTTGGACTTTTTGAGAAATCTGACCAATAATGTGCAGTGGGACATGATTTCATTTTGGGCACTGACAAGAATTTAGAGAGCTCAGTGGTCCTACTGACATTGACTTTGTTTCTACTTCCTCTCGTGATCTATAATTGCCCCCTAAGGTGAACACACAATCCTTCTTTACCTTTTCTAATAATTGCTTTCAAAAACAACATTAAGGTAGACAAAATTCAACCATAAATATAAGGCAAAACACTTAATATCAAGCCAGAGAAGTACACATTTGGATGTTAACGCAACCTTTTCTAGTGTACAGCCGGATAAAAAGCCTCTGACTATCATTTGAGAGCAAAGTGAATAACTCTGTCAATAAATAAGACAAAATTTAAACTCTGAAGAAAAAATGCCAGAGAAATATGTCACAACTCATGAATATTGATGTTGATACCTAGATACTCTTTTTCATCATCAGTTAAAAGGTGAAAATTACTTCTCAACACCTCCTTCAGTATAAGACAAAAATTGAGCTGATACTTCACAGAAGGGGGATCATTCCTTCTGATCTCAACCACATGCTGAGCATTTTCCCATAAACATTTGAAAGTTTCATCGTCAAGCCCCCTTTCAAAGTCTGATTCTCTCTGGCATACAATTTGAATTGGAACAGCATCAACAGAATGTTCCGGAACAGAAGAGATATGTCCCTGCAAAAAAATTCCACAGTGCGTACTGATGAGGACTACAACCCAGCAGCCTGCTCCTCTCCTTTTTCATCATAAAAAAATTATTCTTTACTGCAATATATTCTTCTTTGGGTGGCAGTGTGCCAACACCTCAGATAAAACATTGAATAAAGAAAAAGGGAGGGGAAAGCAGAAGGTGGATAAGGTATTCTTCTCATCTATCTAGCTGAAATAGGACTCTGCATATACAAATTGACCTTTCTCAGATTTGTTGAAGATACAATTCATGAAAGCCATGGATACTCCAAAGCATCATGAAACAACCGTCCCCTATAGCACATAAAAACATAAATAGCAATAAACCTCAAAACTAAAACTTCAATGAAGTATACTCCTATGGAAAGACCTGCTAGAAAATATCTAAAAAGTGAAAATATGCACGAAACTAAACTTAGAAGCAAGGAATGCCTAAAGGTACCTTCATGAATAATATAAAAGATATTTAACACATATCGACATAATAAAGAAAAGGAATAAGAAATCAAATCACAGAAACTTTGTTGTATGGTTAGAACTTTAATACCTCAAATATAAGGCCATAATTGTCCACTAGAGGTGATAGATATTGTGCTAGCTCACGAGAGAGGAAACCTAATAATTTAGAACTTCCAGAATCAGCAGAAACAACCTGAACATACAGAAGAGCTCAATTCCCTAAGAACAATAATGTGTAAAACCAATACTAGCTAATAGAATGAAAAAGAATGAAAACCTTAATGGCATTGGAATCGTTAACATTGTGAGGATCCCTCACAAGAGAGAAGGTATCACCAGGGTGTATCTCCTCATGACCAGTATATCTACGACCAACTAAGAAAGTTTCAAGTGTTGCCCCGGATAAACTGGACCTACAATTAGCCAGCTCTAATTTTGGGAGCCCATCCTTAGAGGACAAGGATGAGCTTCCAATTTTGCAACAACCATTGTGATTATGGTCCGGATTGTGAGTAAGTTTACACTTTTTCTCACTTTCTTCCTTGGCTGTAAGACCAGGTAAAACATTACTTAGATTATGTGGAACATGGTTATTACAATTTCTCAGGACCACAGCATTTTCTGACTTCAACGAGTCAGCAGGAATATTCTGCACTTTTAATGTTGGGCTGAAGTTCAACTGAAGGAGGGTGCGCTGAGTGAGTTTTCGCTTGGTTCTTTGAGAGAGACATACATCTGGAAATATAAATTGAATTAAAACCATCATCATGCAAAAGAGGCTATCTAAAATTAACGTACAAAAAAGTGGATAAACCAGCAAATTGGTATTCTTTTCTTAGGCTGCTTTCAGCCAGAATTGTCATCATAGGTAATTAGATGGTGTAAAATTAAGAAAGGCCAAGTAGTTTTTCAACCAGAATGATGCACACATAGCAAGATACCACATTAGATTAAAATAACTTCCTTTAGTTTTACTAGTATACTGATTTTCTATCATAAATGATAATATACCTAATTCAAGATATAGACTCTTTTTCACATACTATGGGTTTCATTGGTTAACCAAATGAGAAAGAGACTTACAAGACTACGTACCAAGATGAGAATTGACCTCATAGTTATCCCCATCAATCTTACAGCCACAAACTGGGCAAGCTATCTCAACATGAGGGGTCTTATTCTCAGTCTCATCCCCAACATATTTAAATTGGTTCAAATTAGCTTCTTGAGGTTGTTCAGCAAACTTTCCCGAGCAAACGTCTCCATCATTGTCATTGGAGAGATTCAAAGAGATCTAAAATCAAATAAACAAGCATCTGCATAAATAAAGATAATTGAAACCAACCCATTGTAACTGTACTGAATAAGGTGTTCCGAAAAATAATAATCTGGTGAATCCTGAAGTTAGTATTGATACAAAGCACGCAGCCATTCACTCTCCCCCTTGCTGACAAGTTCTACAGCTACTTGTTGGCTATTTTATCTTATATACCTTGGAAGTTGTTAATTGTTAATGTCTTGTTCTAACTTCAATCTCCAATAAGAAAAGCGATATACATCTACTATTCTCAAAGGAAATGTGGGATGTATAGAAAAGAGAATATAAAGTAGAAGGGCATTCGTCCCATCTTCACTTGCCCCCCATAATCGATAATATCTTATAAGATTTTGGCATCGTAGGTTATCAGAAATAATCATCCACTACAACAAAACCTATTATCCCAATTCTTTGACCCAAAAAAAAAAAAAATTCAAATTCAGTAGTCCCGTGCAAATGAATGTTTGAAAAATTTTATAAAAAAAAAAAAGGCAAAACAAGTTGACACGCCCCTTTATGAATCGGAAGGAAATAGTTTAACACGTGTCGGGTGGCAGGAGTCATGGCTTTAGAAGCCAAAATGGTTATAGAAACTAGGAAGACGACAATATGTGATGCCATTATCAGATTAAGCACTCCCTCTTCTTCTTAATTAAGTGTACCCAATGAAGATTTACATACTAGGAGTTTCGCGGAGACTCCCGACTTGAAAGATGCAGTTTCCTACGACCATATTCAGCCGTGGGACAAAGTTTCAAACACATGGTGAACATAGCTAACGCGTCCCCGCACCGAATGCAAGTGACAAGAATCTAAATGTCGCTTATGGGCCATCATGTTATCAAGCAATAAATCGAAAAGTAATCAGAATAACTTGGGAGTGAAAGAACATGAGCAAGTGCAAATACCGGTTCTGGATTGGAGAAGAGAGACTGGCGACTTGGAAGAAAGCGCCTGCGTTTGCCTATCAATCGGATCAAGCTTTCTCTGCCGGTCAGCATCGCATTTGCATCGTAGCCAGTCACGGTGGGGGAACTCCGGCAGCGAGGGTTTGCTCTCGCCTTGCTCCCTCCACTGTCCAAACAACTCTTTCATGGTTTCATTGGCATTTCATAGTCTCTAGAATAGTAAAATTCAATGTCCAGTCCCGCCAACTGCGAAAATATTTCTCGGTTTCTTTTTTAAAAAAATTAATTGTACAAAATGAAAGATTTTTTTTTTTTGCGCCACCATATAAAATGAAAGAATTGCATTAAACTAAAGTTGATGTAAAAAATTCTGTACCCAAAAAAAAAAGTTGATGTAAAAAATTACAGAAAGATATGATAATGGAAAATGAGTAAACAATTTTTCCAGAGTAGACTTTTTAGGTTTTTCGCACTCTTTTTTCACATTTCTTTTTCATTTTCACCTTTGTCCATATTTTTTAATTGAGAATGGAAATTAATAAAACAATGAAAAACAAAATGAAGATTTCTTTCTTTCTTTTTCCTTTTACTTCTTTCTTTTTTTAATTTTGCCCCTATATTTAATGTAATTCATGTTACCACCATTTCTACCACACAAGAATATGATGTGAGTGTCTCCCTTTGCGGTAGGAACTAGGAAGAGTTAAATTATGAGTAAACCGGGGAAAAAAATCTGATTATTTTTCTCTATTGCTCTCTTTGAATTATTATAATGAATCCTTTTCTTTACAAGCCTATATCACTTAAATACATTATTAACAATTACAAACATCAAATCTTCAAATTCTCCGGAACATTACAAACATAAAACACGTAATTCAAACATGATTTTTGAATGAAATAATCGACACAATCTGTAACATCCTAATCTTATCCTAAGGTTTAGGGTCTACTTAAGCTTGCATTTAGGAGAAGAATTGGATAAATAAAGGATTCATGAGGAATTAGGAGTTTAATTTTGATTATTATAAGCCATGTCTTTAGAAATTCCCAGCAATCTTAGTATTTGGCAATTTTTGAGAATCAAATGATAACATTTTTTCAGTGGTTCTTTTTGCATTACAAAATAGACATATCAAGTATTTTAAAGAGTTCTAGTTTATAATTTTTCAAGTTATGTAGAAGTAATTATAAATTTTTTTAAAGTCACGTCATCCTTTTTGTGTCATTAGTCGCAGCGAATGCATTAAAATTTGATTTTTTTTTTTTTAAGAACAAATCTCAGACGTGAAAATAGGAGGGAGGCATGGAGCAAACTTTAGGGCTCTTCTAGGGCAAATTTGTTCAGCATAAGGGGAGTGTTTTTAAACTTCCTAGTACAAAAGGAAGTTATCTAACCCTGATTTCTCTCTTCCTCTTCTCATATTTTTTGGATTTTTGAATAGTTAGAATCTAGGATTCATCTTAGTTTTCATAATGACTAATCTTTTAGCCAATTATTTTAGCTCTAAATGAGTTATACATATTAGATTAAATATTTTAACTCAAAATGAACAATTTTGAGTTATATAAAATTTTAAGCCAGTATTTACTTCTATAGTTAAGGATTTGTTGAGATTTGACAATGTGATTATTTATAGTTTGGTATTTGGGTTATTTTTATGCGTGATACTACCTCCGATCCTAATTATAAGAGCCAGTTGACTAATTTGAAAAGATTAAGAGAGTAAGTTAAGTTAGTTATTTGTCATAAATAGGTGTTGTCTTTCCTAAAATATCCTTGCTAATTAAGTGTATTGACTAGAACTATCATTGTTAGAAGGGTTACTTTGGAAAAAAAAAAGTATAAATATGAGAGACAAAGTGGATTGAGCTCTTATATTTATAATCAAAATAAAAGTCAAACAAGGTTTTATATTAAGGACCGAAGGTAGTAGTTTAAATGTGTGATTAGTTTAGAATGTTGATATTGATAGTTTTAGTTAAATGGGTATGTTGAAGGTTGAAAATCACAAGTGTAAATTAATATTGGTGAGGTTGATTAATATTTCCACTAAGTTGTTTGGGTGGAGGAGTGTAACGAGGATCCTCTTATCACAGTTACTTACCAAATTATTTATTTTCAATGCTATTATAGTGGGGAAAAACGAAAGGGTTGACAAACCTTATCATGATAGAAAGAGTTTTAACTCAATTTTAAATGCTAACAAAGATAGAAAAAAATTCAACTGATCATTTGAAAATAGCGTCATAGTTATAAAAAGAATATTTATTAACTCAACAAGATAAACATGATAGAAAAAGGATATAACTTAACTTCAAAGTGTCAATAATGATTAAAAAAAAGATAAATTCCTTTTTAATTAGCTTATCCATGATAGAAGGCAAATAAATTAATATTTAAAAGCTATCATGGATTTTTGGCCAAAAAAAAAGCTATCATGGATAATAAAACCTTTCTAAATCAATTACAAATCAAATTATGATAGACGAAATACAACCTATCTAATAATATAAAAATCAACCTCTATTTAACGCTGTAATGTGACAGATGGGGCTTTGGGCTTCATTTATTTTGATTAGTATCCTTTCAAAGTTTCAATCATATTTCATTCCCTTCTTAATTCTATATTTTCAAACTTCAAACAATGAATTTCATCTAGAGAGAATCCCAATTAAATCCAATCAAAATATCAAAATTAAAATTTAGACCTATATTTTTAATCAATTTCTAGCGAGGCCATGAGACCTAATTAGAAATTTCTGATGTTGTTAAATAACCAAAATGCTCTTCTTTTATTTAAAAAATTCATTATTTTATTTTCCTAAGTGATTCCTCATCTGTTATCATTATTTTTTGAGACCAAAAATATATAAGTAATTTTACAATGTTTGAAATACGTGTATATAACTTACACCAATAAAAATATTAAAATAAAATATGTTAAATTACAACCTAAGAATAAAAAATATTTATTTAAAGGCTATTTATATTGTAATTTAAAATATTTTGAAGGTTTTAGTTATATATACAAAATTTTAAACACTAAGAAATTACTTATATTTTTTTGTCTAAATATTAATAATAAAAGGGTTCAAGGGCATTGTGGTCATTCAATAGCGTCAACAATCACTGATTAGGCCCTATGTCCTGATTAAAAATTTGTTAAAAGTGTAGGTCTTAATTTGAATTTAAGCATTTCGATTGGATTTAATTAGAATTTTCTCTTTAATCTATTCTCAACCTTAACGTTGTGTTTGGCTCAACGGAAGGGAGAGGAGGAGAAGAATTTTAATAAAGAAAATGGGAGGGAGGAAAAGATGAGGGTAGCTACCAAAAGGAGGGTATGGCAAGGGAAGGGAGGGAAGGGATTTTAATAAAGGGGAGACGAGGAAAGAAATTTTGATGATACCCTATTTGATTTGGAAGAGGAGGGGAGGGGAGCTAATCAAAAATTAACTATTTTAACCTTATAAAATGAATTTTCTCGCTTTTCTATTTTGTCAAGGTATAAATACGTGTAATAGAATTCACCAACTTTAACTTGCCATAATACAAATTATTTATGACTACTTATTATTTGAACAATAATTAAAAAATAACAAGAATTATAATATTTTTAATTGAACTAACCTTCTTAAAAAACAAATTAAAAAAATAGATTGAACTTGTTTACTGATATATATTGCAATCAAAGTAAATATCCATATTTGTAAAACTAAAAGATTCACGTGAAAAAAGATTCACGAGCGAATATATCATCTACATTAAAAAAGAATTCAAATAACAATAATATGATATAAGACTACTCCTAATGAGAACATGAAGAAGATCCAAACACTATATCCATGATTACTGCTTTACATGCTGAAGGTGGGCATTAAACAATTGATCTCAACTTGTCAACATCACTTACAAGATTGTTATAAACCTTACTTGTCAACATCACTTACAAGATTGTTATAAACCTTTTTTTCTCAGCATTAAATCCATATTCACTTATCAAATGTCAAATCTTTGCACCTGACATGGGTGAAATCTAGTAGATAAAACTCTTTTTATAACATTTGACTCATGTAATAAATCATTTCCCGGGTTCAAAGTGTCATGAATTAAATCATGATCTCGAGCTAATGCTTCATTGCCTTCTCTAATTGCTGTAGCCATGTCAAATACTACGCTCTTTATTATGTAGAGATCAATCTCCTTATCTTGAGCATGCTCTCTCCTTCTCCTTTTAGCACAATCACTAGTTGCTCCTTGTGGCTATTTAGAAGGTAGGGGATTTTATTTACCAGTATCACAATCATTTAAAATCTTAACACCATCTAGTGTGTACTCTTTTTTGTGAGATAAGTTGATCCAGGTCATTGATAATTTCATAATTTGCTTCCATAGGAGATGAATGGCGTCGTTTTCACTTCTCATTTGCTGTTAGAGACTCATCTCCACCAACTCTATTAGCTTCATATAAGATTACTATCTTATCATGATTAAAAAATGGAGTATTTCGCCATACTGTAGCCTTCGGTTTAGACTGAGATAATACATATACATTTTAAAAGAAACATAATTTAAGCTTGACCCCAAAAAAAAAAAAGACCATATATAAAATGTAAAAATCATACCTAAATAAGAGCCTTCTAGACTTGAGGTTCAGCATCCCACAATTGAGTTGATGGGTCCCAAGCAAAACCACTTAGACCATTTTTAAATATATCATAAATTTCTAAAAAGTTTCTTTTTAACGTCTTCCAATGTTTTTTTTATTTTGTCATTGTCAATCTTCCTGCCAAATTGTGCACTCAACACTTGGGCAATATTTTCATAAGTTGTAGTGATAAATATCCCATTAATTTCAACCATGTTCATACTCATATATGAAGGCATCAATAACGGCATCATCCATAGCCTTTATCCAATTGAGCAATTCTTTGCCATTGTTTGATTTTATTGGCATTCTATAGGCCTGTTTATTTTAAACATAATAAAATTTGAATTGAAAAAAAAACAGAAATAAGTCTAGACTCAATCAAATTAATACCATAAATCGTTCTGACGATAACAAATATAGGTATTGAAAACAAAACTCAATCAAATTAGAAATATAAATCGTTCTAACAATAATAAATATAAGTACTAAAAATTGAATGTCGATTAAATATGTCAATTAATCAACATGCTTGAGCTTAAGCTTGAGCTTGATAAATAATCCACATTTTCCTAGCCATATTCTCTAATAAGCTCACTTTGAGTAACTTCCACATCTTCATTATTTGGAGCACGACTATCATCATTTTCATTTAGATTTGTGAGTTCCTCGTCAACTTCCCTAATAAGATCTTCATCAGGTCCTATGGTTATCAAGTAATTATGAAGAATACAACATGTAAGTATTACTAACGTTTGAGCTTTGACCCCATGAGTAGGCTTTGATTAATTAGATAAAATTTGAAATCATTTTTTCAATACTCCGGTTGCTATTTTGATTACATTTCATAATGATGTATGCCTTAGATTAAATAATTCCTTGTGATTTTGAGGTGGATTTCTTGAATATTCTTTTAAATGATATCGAACCCTTCTATAAAGGGTGATAAGTCCACTTGTTAACATGAAATTAGCATCCACAAAGTAATATTTTCCTATATATGAATGAAAATAATTAATATAAATGAGCGATAATAACTTGATTAATTGGATTAATTTTAAAAATTATTCAAGCAGTTACCATGGGGGGATTTTAAGCCTATCTTCTCTAGTCAATGCATTCTTTAAAATTCTTGAGTCAGATGCTGTGTCTTCCCACCCTAAGAGCACATAAGTAAACTTTAGATCAAATGAGCATGTTGTTAAAATATTTTGTATTGGGTACTCTTTCCTACCATGATATTGAGGGGTATCTATTGTAGATACCTTAACATGTATATGTATCTCATCTAATGCACAACATAATCTTTAAAAAAAGGGAAAAATTTACCCTTATTACAAATCTTAGAAGGCACTAAAAAACCATTAGATTGTACAAAAAATCTTTCTTCTAGTTCAGTAATAACGTCTAATACTTTATAGAGGTGTTGACTAATTGTCTCACCAGACTTTTGAAAAATAAAGTTAATTACACAATTTCTTTCTTTGTGTACTAATATATGAAGAGTCTTAGCAACTTGTTCTTCCACACTTGCATATCGTGTGGCTCGTAAGTTGCCCTATCTCTCTAACATACTATATAATTTTAAAAAAAGTTTCAGGACCCATCCTAATCATGTCTTGATCATTTCTACTATTAGTTATTTGAGTCATTACTTTTTCACATACTCTTTCTCTTCTGGAGCTCATATTATAACATTTTTTTTCTTATTCCACATATGAGTCACATAGAACTATACAATAGCACAAATGACTTGAATTATAGTTCTTCGACGCAATTTCAAGTATCGACGAACCAAAATAAAATATTGAATCAACATTTGGCGAATCAATATATATTTATGTCTTACCAATTCCATCTAAAATAAATAAATAAAAAATACTTCCACTCAAATCATAGATACCATAATGTTAATTAGTTGGATAAACACGAATAAATTTCTTTTGCCAATTCTTATATTATGTACGTCTAATCTAATATCAATAAAAATGAATCATTAGCATATATGTGTAATAAAAGTAATAGAAATGGGAATGAGAACTACCTAGTAAATAAATTATAATTTATCAAAATCTACATGTGATTGAGGGTCTCTCACTGCCACACTAGTGACAGTATCTCATATATTAGTCAAATTTGAAGAGAAAACAAATTAAAAACTATATCTAAGTTAATATAAAGATGTCAACCAGGATTTCTATTTTTCCAAGTGCTAAGTAAGACTCTGCAAAGGCTTAGGACTTAAAGCCATCTTGCATCTAATACGTATCTAAGAAAATATCTTGCGAACTATAACCACAATTAATATTGCAAAAAATTTTTGCGCATTATGATTGTGAAACTATATACGCCGCAGTACTGAAGAATGGTAAAGAAATTAGGTGGAGTGGGAATGTTGATGGCTTCGGGTGTGGGCAAATATCTTATCAGAAAGAGAATTCATTTACAACAAAAATATCAAATGGCATGCCAAGTGGTAACTTCAATTTTGTTGCGAGTTTAGGTTAATTGGTTAATGCGCTATAGCTTGGAAACACTCATCATCGTCTTTATCAATTCTTGCTTTCGTAAATCCAAGATTCCCAGCAAACATGTCCTAACCCCGTATGATTTGTATTGTTTTATATTGCTTTTAGCCATTATTTTTTTTTTCCTACAGCTGCTCATAATATGAATAGAAAAGTCAAAGAATATGGACCTGAAGCTCAGAAGAAGATGACGATTGATTGGCTCAATTGTGTGATGGCAGTTTCTTGAGATGTGGGCACAGCATATTAGGGCGTAGAAAAAATAAGAGGGTTAAAAACTTAAAAAAACAAGAGAGGAATTAAAATATTTTACTTAGATTAATTTGAGAATATAAAATTTATCTCCCACATTTTCTCTAAAAAATCCCATTTTTAGAGGGGAGGTTAGAAAAGAATAAGAGGGAAGGAGAACCCTTTCCTCTTTAAGAAATATCTCAACCAAACAAAAAGAGGGGAGTTTAAAAAAATGTACCAACCAAGCAAGAGGACTACCCTGCATTTCAAAAAACCTGTTCAAAACATAGTGTTACTTAAATTATAAGTCTTATCCTAATATTACTTAACTTAAATCCTGAAAATAAAAATTTGAGATGTCACAATGGAACTAAAATACCGTCACTCAATCAATTTGCCACGAAAGAATTAGGGAGAAAAAAATTATGTCGCTAATACAATTTTTTTTAGTGAACTCTTTCTTCTCTTTCTTAATTAAACAAGATAATATTAAAAATCTTTCCTTTCCCCCTTACTAATCCAAATAAAATAATATTAAAACTTCTCTTCTACCGGTCCTAAGGTGGATTAAAATGTAATCCATTTCACATTATACAACTAACCAAACACGTAAATCGGCTCATCATATTAGGATAATATGTAATCTTTCCTCTGGAATAGAACCAAACGGCCTGTTTGGTGTGAGGAAAACGAAAAAGAGTTAACTTGCATCTTTGTTTGGCTTCTAAAAATATATGTAAGATTATTTTAGTTTTAATTGTAAGTCATTAAGAGAGTATTTGGATGAAATCAAACCATGGTTTGGAGAATAACTTATGAGGGAAAAGTTATTTTTGATAATAGATTTTGTGAAAAAAGTTATTCTCATAAAATAAGAGTGTTTGGATAATTATTATTAGAAATACTTTTTATATGTGCAAATTACTAAAAAGACATAAATTAATATGATAATTACATAAAAGATAGATTTTATAATATATTTTTATTTGAAGTGATAAGTTTGTTAATAATATTTTTTTTGGCAACATAATAAATAATATATAAAAAATTGTAATTAATATGTGTATATAAAATATGTTTTAGAAAAATGATTTTTTCTGCCAACAAAATTTTTTTTTTCACAACTAGTTTCTTTAACGACATACTACCTCTGATATTTAATATAAAAATTATTTTAATATTTAATTTGGTCCTAAATATAAAATTTTAATCTATTTTATTTCTCATATTTATTTATTTTTTAAAGTAGTCCTTGTAATACATGTTAAATATTTTATTAAATGGTACTTTAATACACATGATTAGAAAGGGTATTTTAGGAAAAACAACACCTATTTATTACAAATAATTGATTTAGCTAATTTTCTTAATCTACTTAAATTAGTTAACTAACTCCTATATTAAGAACCAAAAGTAGTATTACAATGTAAAAACAGAGGACCACATTTTCAAGAAGTAACATTTTTTTGCTTTTCATAAAACCATAGTTCAGATAGGTCAAACAATAATTTTAGAGCCAAACCATCATTTCATAAAAAAATGAGGTGTTTATAACTTTTGGAAGCAAATCACGGTTTGGGCTCCAAAAGTAATTTTGAGAAGTTTGCCAATAATTCCCCAAGTTTTGGAGGTAAATGCAAGTCACTTGCCTTTATCTTCCAATTTTGCAAATTACTTCTATTTATCGGACTGCTATGTGTGTGTGTGTGTGTGTATATATATATATATATATATATTTGCGATATAGGGACTGCTATAATTTCTATGCAGGAAGAAAAGGCACAAGTCACAAACCCTACTCAAATCAGGATTCGGGAGCTCTGCTTGTTGGGTTGAGGAGACAGGGGAGAGCTCGCGATTAGATTGCACGCGTCCTTCGTCTTCATCTCCGTCAGCATCGACAGCAAGCAGGTGCGTCTTCCACTTGTTCTCCATCTCTCTGTGTCTGAATCTGTGTGCGTGTAGTGAAGAGGGGTTGGGGTACTCTGTTTGAGAGAGTTGTGAAGAAGTCTCTTTCTGAATCTCTATACTCTCCACCCCTCCGGTTCGTTTCACTCTCTCCCTACTATTCGAATAGCCTGCAGCTTCTTCAGCTTCCTTGTTTCTGAATCCTCCGTGCCCGTCGTTACCTTGTCTCCGTCGCCGTTAAGGCGAAATCGTAAACGTTGGTGGCTCTCATTCACTGTCCTCCGTGTCTCTCGTTGTTCTGAGTGTTTTTATGTTAAATATAATTTCCATGTTTGTTGATCTGCTGGTCTCACTGATTTCGTCGTGCTATTCTTTTGTTTGATTTTTGTTTAGATTTTACTCTAATCGGTGGCCCTGTTGCATCTTCAATTTGCAGGTTGGTTTTGATAGCTATCGCCTACTTCTATGCCCTACTTTTGCTTTAACGTAAAGGTAAGGCGGTAAAAGACTTGGGAATTGTTTTGAAGTCGCCATAATGTTGGGTTCATTACCGATACTGCCTCTGCCTGCTCCTCCCTCTGATGGAAATCTAGGTCCTCGCCCTGAGGCTCAATTGCCTGAGGAGAGGGAGGATGAAAAATCGTCTAGCGAGGAGCAGACCAAATCGAATTCTACATCAGTTGCTACCCACACTAGAACTATTGGAATCATACATCCCCCTCCAGACATTAGAACTATTGTCGATAAAACAGCCCAGTTCGTTGCAAAAAACGGTCCTGAATTTGAGAAAAGGATCATTGCAAATAACACTGGCAATGTCAAGTTCAATTTCCTGAATTCATCGGATCCCTATCATGCATATTATCAACATCGACTAGCGGAATTTCGTGCCCAAAACCAATCTTCCACCCAGCAATCTCCTTTGCAACCTATAGATTCAGCTTTGTCTGAATCAACCTTCTCTGCGCCAGCCTCTGACAGTAATGATGCTGCAGCAGCACCTACAGCAACAATAAAGCCTGACCCCTCCTCTCAATTTAAGCCTGTAAGGAAAGTACTTGAACCCCCTGAAGCTGAGCAGTATACAGTTCGGCTTCCTGAAGGGATTACAGGGGAAGAGCTGGATATTATAAAGCTCACCGCACAATTTGTGGCTCGAAATGGAAAATCATTCTTGACAGGGTTGACTAGTAGGGAGGTTAATAATCCTCAATTCCATTTCTTGAAACCAACCCACAGCATGTTTACATTCTTCACTTCCCTTGCAGACGCGTATTCTAAGGTTTTGATGCCTCCGAAGGGGTTGACAGAGAAGCTGAGGAAAAGCATTTCTGACATGACTACTGTCCTTGAACGGTGTGTGAACAGGCTGGAATGGGAGCGATCACAGGAGCAAGCTCGGCAAAAGGCTGAGGATGAAATAGAGCAGGAAAGGATTCAAATGGCGATGATAGATTGGCATGATTTTGTTGTGGTTGAAACAATAGATTTTGCTGATGATGAGGATAAGGAGCTGCCTCCCCCGATGACTCTTGAGGAGGTTATAAGGAGAAGCAAGGTTTCAGCCATGGAAGAAGATATAGTTGAACCTGAAAAGGAAGTTGAAATGGAAATGGATGAGGAAGAGGCCCAACTTGTTCAAGAGGGCATGAGGGCAGCTAGTTTGGAAGATAATGATGATGGGAAGAAAGGTGGGGTCAATGTTACAGAGGAGCCTGAGCCACCTATGAGGATTGTCAAAAACTGGAAAAGACCAGAGGAAAGGATTCCTGCAGAAAGAGATCCGACAAAATTTGTTGTTTCCCCAATTACTGGTGAGTTAATTCCAATTAATGAAATGTCTGAACATATGCGAATCTCTCTCATTGATCCCAAGTTCAAAGAACAAAAGGAAAGGATGTTTGCCAAAATTCGTGAGACAATGCTGGCTCAGGATGATGAAATCTCAAGAAACATTGTTGGACTTGCACGGACCCGTCCTGATATCTTTGGTACTACTGAAGAGGAGGTCTCCAATGCTGTCAAGGCAGAAATTGAAAAGAAGAAAGATGAGCAACCTAAGCAGGTTATATGGGATGGTCACACTGGTAGCATAGGACGAACTGCGAACCAAGCCATGTCACAGAGTTTGGGTGGTGAGGATCCAAATAATGTTGCTAATAATGAAGCTAGAAACCTTCCTGGCCCTGCCGCACCTCCTCCTAGGCCTGGTATGCCTTCAATTCGTCCTCTTCCACCACCGCCTGGACTTGCATTGAATCTTCCCCGTGTTCCACCCCCCACAGTTCAGTATCCTCCCCCAACCAGTGGTGGTCTTTCAGTGCCTCCTCCAAGACCTCCGGTACCCATTATGCCATCTTTTCATCCTGCTTCTCATCCAGTGCCAGTCACTTCTGGGCAGCAAACATTCATGTCCAGTCAACCACCTCCGTTGCCTTCAGTTTCTGTCAATGGACCGGGGATGCCTGTTCCTCCACCCCCAGGTTCTCAGATCACTCCTGTTTCAATTCCTCGACCGTATGCCTCTCTTCCTATCCCTCCACCTGGGATGCCTATGATGCCTCCACCACCTTTGCCTCAAGGAATGCCACCCCCGCCGCCACCTGAGGAAGCTCCTCCTCCGCTTCCAGAAGAACCAGAGCCAAAGAAACAGAAGCTTGATGATTCAGCTCTTATCCCAGAAGATCAGTTTCTGGCTCAACATCCGGTAGGGACTTCGATATTTTTTATGATGATGATGATTAATTAGTTTTTAATTTACAAAAAAATAGCTTCAACATTTATCCTTACTGATTTTATTTTGTTGCAACCAGGGACCAGTTCGTATCTGTATATCAATTCCTAATATTGATGAAGGAAATCTCAGAGGACAAGTTCTGGAGATTGCCATGCAATCTCTGTCTGAAACTGTTGGCAGTCTGAAGGAGAAAATTGCTGGGGAGATTCAACTCCCTGCTAACAAACAGAAATTGAGTGGAAAACCTGGCTTTCTCAAGGATAATATGTCACTTGCTTATTACAATGTTGGAGGAGGGGAGGTGCTCTCTCTCACATTAAGAGAGCGTGGTGGTAGGAGGAGATGAGTTCATACTTGCCCATCCGTTCGAGGTTGTTGTTGGAGCTTTTGCCTCACTATGGGCATATGATTTCTCATAATATTCATAAACTCTATGATGCTTTATTAATGTTGGTGACTTTATGTGTATTCTAGTATCAGCAAGCTTTCAGGATCTTATAATTGTTTGGCAAGATTGATGTTAACTGTGAAATGCTGATTTGGGCACCTAGGCCTCATCTTTTGAGAGCAGTGGGAAGTAATGCAGTTCCTTTTATATGATTAAGTCAATACTTACACCATTAATTATTATTTTCTTCTGGATTTCAGTTGATTTCTTGCAGATTTACTAGTTTGTTTCTGCTCGAACTCTTCTGCAATCAGGGAGGGGCCATGTAGATTCTTGTTTTTCTTTGGTCTTGCTCATTTTTAGTGTTGTTTCAAATTTGAATGGGAAGCAGTGATTTAGGTTTTTCTTCTCTTCTAGTGTTTAGGTCTTCTTATATTGGATATGCTCTTACACCAGCACAGTTAATTGGTTGGTTTGGTTGGAGGATCCTTTAGGTGCTGAGCTTATGCACCTTTAGCTGGTGCATTATGTTTGGGCTTAATAGGGTTAGTCATATTTTACTTCCATTTATGCTTCACATAACCATTCCATGTATTGGCTGGGATGTTTGTTGTCGTTGATTATGTTGTTTTCTCGTAACAGACATTTTACATCGACTTATGGGAAGGCTGTTCCGCTTAGCTGATTTATCTGTGAATGGGATGAGGAAGGTAGAATGGCCTACATTACTCTCTACTCTGTAATATTAATGTATTTTCTTTTTATTTTTTGAGCTATCTGATGGCAGTTTGTGCCTGCTAATTTTTGCAGCATAGAGCAGGTTTGGTGTCGTCATTTGGAGGGTATTTTTGAAAAATTATGAGCAAGATTACTTTCTGCTTTACTTGGTTTAGCTGACTTGATTATGTTAGATCTTAAATCTTGTTCTGCTAATATTTATTGAGATTCACTTTGTCTTTCTACTGGGTTGATTCATAGCTCTTGAATTCTTAAGAGAGTCAGTATGATCCATTAGAGCCACTTGTTTGTCTTTTTATACTTCTCCGTAAGTATGTGATTACTTCTCCCGTTGGGTCTCAAGTGATCATTCTTTTGTCTCCTTGCATTAACCAAGTTTTGTCACTTTGTGGTGGGAGCAGAAGACCACTGCATTGATGGCTGAAGGATAAAGAATAACGCAAGTGATACAAAACAGAAATAGAAGGGAATGAATTATTTCTATGCATATTGACCTGCGACTGTTGCATTATATATAGAGAAAATCAAGCCTGATCAATCATTACTGATTTGAATCAAACTGTTCGACTAACTGATTTTGAGCTGATAGGTAAACAACTCTTCTAATCCCAAAGTTGGCCATTCATTTCCTACTTTTGACTTACCGTTCCTCTGGCATTTCTTGCTCCCGAGCACCATCTTTTGGACAGCTTTTATTATATTTTTGTAGCAAAGGTTACAAATAGACTAGGAAACCAAGATGCTGAGTTTTATGTCATCTCCAACCGATTTATTATTTGTCTTACCATATTTGGGGCTTAGTTTCTACCTTTTCAGTTCTCACATGAACAGTTAATCTTGCAGTGACCATTTGCTGTTTTGGGAATGACATACATTTGACTTAATGCGTGATCTCAGAGGCATGAATTTATGGGACCTTTTGTCTTTGCTAGTTTTGGGTCCATGTCAATATTCACTCGTCTTAGATGCATGGAGTCTCAATTTTCCTGTGGCATGTCTGTTTCAGTGTCGCTATATCGTTTCTTCTTGGAATGTGATGCCACTGGTAACGCTACTGATAGAAGTAGTGAAATAGTGGGTTCGGTTGTAATGTTTTTGGATTGATCAGAATGACATTTGAGCTATTCGTGATAAAAGTTCTGTTGATGGTGTAATGGTGCTGAAAAAAGTGGCCATATAGCGCACCAAAAGTGTGGCCATTGTCTTCTGCCCAAAAAAGAGAAAAATAGCTATAAGAATGTTTGTGCCCTTATGTTGTGCAAGTCGCCTATATGACCCATCTTGGAATGATGGGTGCTGGTAAAACGGGCCAGCTCATGGCCCATGGTGGAGCAAGGACTTACAAGGAAGGACCAATGTATTAAACCAAAAAAAAAACACTGGCCTAGACTGTGGTGGTGTGGGGCTGTAAAATTTCAGATTCTAGCAGGCTGGCCTTTTGCCAACCCGCCTGTGGGCCCAGCCTGGTGGGTAAGGTGCTGCAGTAGTAAGCTTATTTGTTTGCCGTAAAAGCTTAATTGGTGTCATGGGATGTCTGTTCGTGGAAGAGTTACCAATATTGATTTGTGGTTTATGTGATTTTATTATTGTCGGTTTGTTTTTCATTATCTTTAGATTTTGGGGAGAATGACACGTCGGTCCTTTAGAAGAGAATTATTGATACGAGTGGGTGCATTACAAGTCCCAAGAAGTAAGGAATGGGGCTTGGTGAGGGTTATGTAGGTTCTCAAGAAAGAGTTCCGTACAGGCCAAGAACAATTATGTACTTTTAATTATAGAATGAGAAAACTTTTTTGGAGATATTTATATTTGTTTCCAATTTTCATTTTGGTATTTGTGTATTTTTTTCTTAATTAAATTTTTATTTTTGCACTATTAACATGATTAATCCCCATATGATGATTAAAAATGTTAATAGAACAAAGTTACAAGAGATAATGTTGTTAGAAAAGTAAAATTCAATAATTAAGAAGAAAAATATAGGTATCAATTTAAAAATTAAGAGAAAGTATAGGTGTTTTTAATATAGTTTTTGTTTTATAATCGTACAAGGGTATATTCTAGTCTTAGGAATTCATACAAATAGATGCATGCAAATATGTAATGTACTAAAGAACCCTTGCATAAGTAATTTATAGACAAAAAATCCGAAATATAACAGTCGACTATCCTTTGCGGGTTCTTTTTTTTTTTTTTAATTAAAATAATATAGAGTTAAAATAAAAAGATACAACATCCTAAATCGCGTTTTATAAAATATAGTTAATTAAAAAGAAAGAAATATTGTTTGAAATACATAAACGAAAACAAAAAAAAGAAGGAAATTCGTCAAGTAGCTTATGATTTTTGCAAATTCCTTTGGCAAATTTTGTGAGTTGCTATAATTTATGATCCAAGCTTTTTTAGGTGAAACAAGAGTATTTTTAAGTCACATTAGACTTGAAATTAATCCCTTTCAAGTCTGAAATGGTTAAGGAATAACCCTGTCAATAAATGCGTTTTTCGCAATTCAAACTTGTATTGTATTCCTTATGAAAATGTACCACCTGAACCAATAACTTTTTCGCTGAGCAAGTCACATTCGTGAATTGCTATGGTTTATTATCCAAGTTAAATGGGAGAGGAATTGTTCGCTTAGTCAGATTTTTAACTCAACATGATATTTGACGTTATTGATGAAGGAGGAAGATTTTCTCCTCTTAATCTTACTGATCCAAATAGTCTATCCATGAAGGGATATTAGTAATGAGCGGGGAAGCTAATATTTTCCTATCTTAGATTCTTTCTTTTGAAGACTTAGAGAATTAGCATTTCACTTTTTTTTTGGTGTTTCTTTCTTCCTCCTCTTTTCTTAGAAGCGATTCTAACGAGGCTAACGTATGTGAGAAGAATTTTGTACGACATCCAAAAACAATTTTGTTTTGTACAACATAAAAATCCATCTTAGAGTCAAAAGTTAAAATTTGTGGTTGTGTTTAAAAAAATCTCCAAACACAGCAAAAGATAAATTATGTTGGTTGATTTATTATATAAATACTTCATACTGACGAAAAAATTTAAGTTTTTAATTTGTAAATCTATTTTGCCTTTTGCTTTTATTCCAGACTTGCCATTTTATTAATTTTATTATATACATGTATCACGCAAAAATATATAATATAATACTGCCTCTGATCTTTAATATAAGATCTCGTTGACTAATTCGAGTAGATGAAGAAAATTAGTTAAGTTAGTTATTTGTAATAAATATGTGTTATCTTTTCTAAATTATACTTGTTAATCAAGTGTATTGACTAGAACTATCATTATTACAAATATTAATTTAAAAATAAATAAATAAATATGAGAGACAAAGTGGATTGTGATATTATATTTAAGACTAAGATAAAAGTCAAACCAGTTCTTATGTTAAGGACATGATGTAGTAATACACATAAATATCGATCAATTAATCATCAACTATCAACTAATATTTTTGAAAATTTGTAATACTCAATTCATTTTAAAAAACGTCGGATATGATATTATGACATCAGAATATATTCCATTAAAGAAATTTGAATAAGGTTGTGATTAAGATTTGAATATGTTGAATTAAACGGAAAACATTATAAATAAATAAAATTTCAATTAGAGGCTCAAATGAAGGAATGAAAAATTAACTGTGAATTTTAATAATATCTTAATTGAGATTTGAATATATTGAATTAAACGAGGAGTATTATAATTAAATAGTATATCAATTATAGATTTAAATAGAGAAATAAATAAATAATTTTAAATTTTTATCTATTCCTCCTAAATTCCGCATCTTTAATTCAAATTCTATATGAATGAATTAAAAAAAATCATAATTCTATAAAAAATAAATCTTGAGCTATCTTAGGTAATGTAATTTGTTAAAATTTTAAATCTGATTAAATATGCTAATCTGTGCATCGTACATGGAGAAATTTTTAGTTTTAAAGAGATCATGTAATATATGTTATGCAAGTTATTGGTTGAAATGATAATTAGTCTACTCTAAGAAGAACAGTAAAGTTCGAATTTTAAAAACCACAGCGGACTTTAATTTTAATGCTTTCTCGACATCTTCTGAATTACTACTTTTGATTCTAATTATAAAAGCCACTTGATTAATTTGAGAAAATTAAGGAAAGAAATTAAGTTAGTTATTTGTAATAAATATGTGTTGTTTTTTCTAAAATATCCTTGTTAATCACGTATATTGGTTAGAACTATCATTATTAGAAGGACTACTTTAAAAAAAATATATAAATATAAGAGATAAAATAAATTAAGGTTTTATATTTATGACCAAAATAAAAATTAAATAAAATTTTATATTAAAAACTGGAGGCAGCATAATTTAGTAAGTTCTTTATTGAGAAGCGAGATAATAGTTAACATGATGCGAACTTCCAAAAAAAGTTTTTACTAGAAAACATATTTTCCGTAAATTCTAAGATCCCCTGCTGTGTCTGCGGCCGCAGCTCCCGTAAGGACGTAGCCACTTCCTCATTCGCAAGCTTGTATGATTTTGGACTGAAGTTCCAATGCACAATCTGAGTTCAAGCATAGCATCCTTTGTGGTGGAACCACGCTAGTTGATCAAACCTTCTCCGATATCTCTCTTAGCTTTCTGCACTACAGTGTGAGTTCTTAAGTTTTGAAGTGCTGTTTGATATTTCTAAAGGATAGATTTTAAGAAATTACTGTGGGAATTGGAGGAAATATTATTTTGCTTAGTTTTTGCGAAATGTTGCTCATCAAGTGCTATGGTTAATACTAGGTGGTAATTTCATGATCACAAGGTGTTCGAGGGAATGCGTAGATGGGAATTATGTGTAGGATGAGTTTTCTTCTCTCTGAGTTTGTCATTTAATTAGTTAAATTTGATATGATGTGTACAGAACTCAATACCAATGGCGTGTACGCTATAGCCCTGTTTTCTTGGTCCTTTATGGTTATCCTTCTGATATGACGTATACACTATAGCCTGTGACATCAAGTTTAATTCCAACGAATTGGGGTTTAATTTCTGAGTAAATATTATGACGATTTCTGTATTTTCTAGGTGAGTTGGCGGAACATAAACATATGCATTATGTTTTTGACATTACTTTAAAGGTGCAAAACTCATTGTTTTTTTATTTTAAATAGTTGGCTGTAGAAATGAGGGATTAGGGTTAAAGCAAAGCTGTATGTCTTGTATGTGTTTTCTACATCACTCTTGACCTCCACTGCCTTCACTGAAAGCTGTTCAATGAACAGGCAGAAATCTTTTAGTTTTTATCTTGTTAGTCTTGTTCTGATGAGTAATATGTTTGTACTAAGGTCTTAGTTTACATTATTGGCGTTAACTATTCATGAATTTGCATTTGCAATCACTCGATGATAAAGCCTCATTGTGTCATTGTGCCCAATAATCTTGTATTGTGGCTGTTTGATCTGGCCTTTTAGCTTTTTGATACAATGTATTGATACGAAGAGAATTCCCTCTATCCTACTTTTAACATGCAAACAATTTGTTATTATCTCAATGGATTTTGCAGCTGTCTTTAGCAAGATAACATAAATAATAGTGTTTCGCTGCCTTTGGTGATGGGGAGTGAGGTGGATGCAGTAAAGGAGGCCCGGATAGTTGATGCCCGGGCAAGAAACATCAGTCATAACGTGAGGTGCACAGAATGTGGGAGTCAGTCCATTGAAGATTCTCAAGCAGACATTGCAATTCTACTTAGAAAGGTACCGGTACTTGTAATTTCTAATTTAGTTTCCACGCGGGAAGGTTAAATGTGTGGTATGAATTGGCCAACATGAGTATTATGCAGCGTTGTCTTTTTATTAACTAATTCATGATTGATAGACTTCATTGGTTAGAACTATATGTTTACGACATCTACTTGTTTCTGAAATCAAAGTTGGAAGAAATGGGTGCATGATTTGTCGCAAATTTGATGAATTAATCTAGTGGGGGACTATTCAGATTGTTTTTGGTATGCAACTTGCAAGTGTTCGATTTTATTTAATCCATATGGTATGAGTCGTCATTTCATTATTTGTTTCAGCTACCTGTCGATTTGCTTTGCCTTATCATAGCATTTTAATCGTTTTTTCTACGTGAAGAAGGCATCTCAATCTTTGTTAATTTATTAAGTTATTTCTCACTTTATTTAGTTCTTTCGTGCTTACGTTGGCTTTGTGATTTAATTTAAATTGTTTTCCATGTTTCTACCCAGAAAAAGCTTATGCTTTTTTTTTCTTGGGTGATACAGTTTATGCTTATTTTTTTTGATAAAATAATATAGACTCCCCTCCCCTGCTCCTTCCACCCTTTTTTCCCTTGAATGCCTTTGTAGTGGTTTAAAGAGATTCAATTTCTCAATTTTATTAATATGCTAAGATTCCCTTCCCTTTTTTCACCCCTAGTCTTAAGGCAATTGTTGTATGATAATTCTTTATAAGCTAGCCCTGGGAATATCAAGAAATAAATTGATGGATTTGAGCCTTGGTTAACGAAGTTAGGAAAGATCAAATAAAGTAGGCCTGACTTATTGGGAAATCTATTTGGCCCAAAAAAAAAAAACAGACCTATTGGGAAATCAAAGACGTGTTAACTGGTTTCTTGTGTTTTGAAACCAGGCTGAATAGGTTCTTAAAGTTGCTTGCCAATTCTTGTTGCGCTTTTTTCATCCTTATCTGCTCAAATTTTCTATAAAATAATTAGCCGACCATTGTGACATATAGTAACCTGCATTATGTGTATTATCTTGCAGTTAATTCGCGATGAGATTCGTAGTGGGAAGACAGACAAGGAGATATACAAAAAGCTTGAGGAAGAATATGGGGAAACTGTACTCTATGAACCAAAATTTGATCTGCAGACTGCAGCTTTATGGCTATGTCCTGTAAGTTTTCTCAGGAGGGTTGAGAACACTTGAATTTGTAACATATTTTGATCTGATTCATATTCATTCTGACTCCAGAATAACTTGTTCTCTGGGAATAGATCCTAGTTGCAGGTGCAGCAGCTGGAGTATGGGCTTACAACAAGCACAGAAAGAAGACAAATGTTCATATCATGGCTTTGAACCTTATCAGAGGCGTTCCATTGACCCCAAAAGAAAAGCAAACCATGCTTGATCTCCTTACACCACCTCCATCTCAGAATTCAAGAACTCCCTTCTGGTGGAGGAGATGGTGAGGTTAATGATCTTATTCGCTATCGGCTTTCGTGACTTGGATTGATCCCTGCATCACTATGAAGTTAAGTTTTAGTTAGAGACTCGTATAAAATAATGACTACTTTGAAGAATTTTAGAAATCATAATTTCTCTCAGGGTCGGATACTATCAGTGTAGTTTTGTAAAGTTAAAGCTAATATATACTGTTCTGATCTTTCACGTAAGAGCTACTTAATTTTTATAGATTAAGAAAACTAAATCTATTACTAAATCCTACTAAATGTGACTTGATCTTCATAAAATACCTGTATATAACATTAGATTATATCTTAGCTTTTAGAAAATGATTTATACTGTGGAGAGAAACCTAGTATGAAAGTAATGATTTTTCTGTATTGTATTCACTTCTTATTGATTTTAATATGGAGCAAATCTAAGTCCATTGTTCAACACTCGAAAATCGGAATATCAACAGTCCGATATATTCTCATTCTAATGATCATTTCTTAACCCCATCAGAATCTCTCCACAAGCCAATCCCATGCTTTTCTTACCTGGATGTACGTGTGATTTTTTAATACATGGAATGCATACACTCAATTATCGGAAGTTCAAAAAATAGTTTTCCTCAATTCTCTTTTGCTGTTAAGAAACCACGTAGGATATGGCTGGCCAGCTTGTTATGTAACCTTTTTATCTGATGTTTGAATAAAATTTACGGTTATAAAAGAAGAAAACTATACACACACAAACTAATTTTCCTTGCAAAGAGAATTCGATTCTTCTTCCCCTCTTGCTCTCTATGGGTTATCATCTTTCTTTCTTTTTTTTTAAAACGTTTTTGTAGTTCTTATCATTGGTTAATTCAGAACATATCTGTTTAATTCTCAATATTGTTGCTTGAATACATCACAAAAAATGAACTTGCGGAGTAACACAAATACACACACACACACACACATATCAACCTACACTCATAAAACCTGAAACAAAAACTTCGACTTAAAAGAAAGCATGGAATATCATAAGAAAATTAAAAACAAAAGAAAACGCAGAATAGAATCCATAACAAGAATCAGAGAACTAAAACCTGAAATAAATCCAGAAACTAGAGAGAGAGAGAGAGAGAGAGAGAGGAAATACATGGAGGTAAAAAAAAAAAGGTAAAAAAGAGCCAACGATATATATATGTATGTGTATATCACTTCTGATCTTCCCCTGTCTTACAGCAATTCTTCATCAGAACCCCTTTTTCCCTTCCTCTTTTCTTTTCCTTTCTTTTTCTCCTTTTCCATTTTCCTTTCCATTTTCTTTTCCATCTCAGTTTCTACTCTCATTTTCATATCTCTTTCCACTTCCCTGTCTATTTCTTTCTCTCTTTCCCTTTCCGCTCTATCCCTTTCCATCTCCATTTCTATTTCTCTTTCCAATATTTTCTTCTCTCTTTTCTCTCCCTTTCGCACCATAGTTCTTCAATTCTCTTCACCTGTTATGTGTGGGGTGTGTGTGTGAATATATCAGTTCGTTTCGCATTTAATGATGTAAACCTGGAATGGTTGAAAAGGGCAGTTTTAAAAGGCGATTAAATGGGAAGTTTGAAAGACAAACAGGTTCAGTGGGTCTTGCCTAGTCTTCTTCAATTTCTTATCCGAATCCAATTGCTCCGTTCATGCTCATTTTCTTCTCTTGTCCAAATTCAATTGCCACATTTGCTCAAATCCAATTTATAAGAGAGTTTCGAGAAATACTCTCCCAATCCTCAATATAAGATTCTTATGCTAAAATCTTATATTTAGGACCGGAGAAGTACCATTTATAAGGCAGGAAATTTTTTTTAATTATTATATTTATGAGTTACTATTTTGTTAAATTTTTAACATAAACATTATTTTACTTTTTATTTATTATTATGCATATTATTATTTTTTAGATAGTGTATATATTAAATAAGAATAAAATTAAAAAGTTATTAAATTTTAAGAAAGAGTTGAAGAGTTGATTCTAACAAAATATGTTAAGAGTGACTTATAAATAAAATTACAAGAGTATTTCACTAAAACCAAAAATGGTATTAAACTCCATTAGCTCTGTCTTAAAAGTTAAGAACTTCTCAATGTCACCCTTATTTAACATACATTCTAAGAGAATAACAGTAGACATAATAATAAACTAAAGAAAAATTATATATTATATGATAAATTTAATGACATTACTCATATTAATCACAAAAACTCTCCCTCTTTTTTTTTATCAATATATCCCAAAATGAAAGTGTATCACTCTAATTATTATTATAAGTGATTTGTAACTCATTCTTACATAAAAAAAAATATTAAATTGATAAAAATGTTCAAGTATATCTTTATCAAATTTTTTTCTCTTTATATTCACAAATCACGCCTCTCTAATTTTTATCTCTCCAACAAAAATTAAATAAGAATAAAACTGAAAAACAATCATTAAATCTCTTACAAATTATTTGGGACCAAAATTTTTCCCCCACAACTGACTTAGGATTTTCATCGATTTCAGTGAGGCCGCCTAATCTCGAATTTCAACACACGAATGTGAACCGTCTATACTTTTCACTATATTTTATTTTTAAAAATTTAACTAGAGTAATGAAATAAACTAATTATATTTGATATGCCATAAAAACGCCTTTTTCATTTTATATTATTTGATCAAGCGAAAATAATTTAAAAACAAAAAAGACGGTGTTTGCATGATTTTAATTTTGAAACATAATATTACCTTGGGAGAATTTCAGTAAAAGACCGTTGTAGCATCTTACTTTAAAAGAACGACAAAAAAAAAATCTAAAATCTCAGTTCAGACTTTAAAGTTTGAAATGAAAATAAGTTTGAAAACAAAATATTCAAAATATCCTTAACCTAAAATGAAGAATCAGTAAAAAAAGGAAAAAGTTGGGCAAGAAAAAAACAAAAGACTGGTTGTATGAAATCTTTACAATAATGTCCCAATGGGGTGTCACACTGTTGTACTGTTGTGTGTGTTGTGTATTTTACATTTCATTTAATTTATATTCCGGCTTCATGCAGGCGAGTTGCAGCCTACAATCTGAACTAAGGACAGGTTTTTGGAGTTAGCTCATCCTCACGGGATTGCAATCCTTTGTCCTGAGCATTGTAGCACGTGTGTCACCCAGGACATAAAGGGCATGATAATGTAATTTATTTTATTCCTACAAAATTTCTAAAACTCCTCCAAAATTGAAAAACTAGTAATGCTTAAATAATTATAATATGTCAATTTGAAAAAATAGATTAATATTTTTATTTGATCCTACTTAATATTATTGATTTACTCATTCTGAAAATTTTAGTTTATTGTATTTATTAATGAATTTATAAGTGTTAATAAACATTTTAACAAGTAGTCATACGCAGAAGAACAAATGTTATGATATGAAAAATCATACAAATCTTTACTTTCATAAACATACTTTCATACAAATCTTTACTTTCATAAACATACTTTCCTGGTCAAACGTGAGCTATATTTTTGCCATCTAATCCATTTAATCATGTGTTGCAAAAACAAAAACAAAAGAAATACAAATAACTAAATATGAATGAACATGAGATATAAGAAGACTAACAACAAAAATTAGAAAATTTACAAAAAAATATAAAGAAATTTACAATAGCATTTAAGGTTTTGTAGAGAAAAAAATATTTGCAAATATCTACATAAATAATTAAAATAAGAAAATTTACAATGAAAATTAGACGTTTTATAAAAAAATTAACAACAATATATAAAGGAATTAACGGCAAAAATTAAAAAATTTACAATAAGAAAACTAACAACAAAAATTAGTTGATTTACAAGACATGTAAGGAATTGACAACAAAAATTAAGCAATTTAGAATAAATATAAGAGTATTTATAATGAAAATTAGGCAATTTACAATATACATAAGATCTCATTTTTGTTGGTAATTCCCTTATATGTTGCTTGTCGACTCCCTTATATTTGTTATAAATTGTCTAATTTAAGAGGATTTACAACAAAAATTAGACAATTTACAAGAAACATAAAACCTAATTTTTGTTGTTAATTCCGTTATGTCTTGTTGTCAATTTTCTAATATTTCTTATAAATAGCTTAGCTTTTATTGTTAATTCCCTCATATGTTGTTGTTAATTTTTTTATATTTTTCGGAAATTACATAATTTTTGTTGTTAGCTCATATGTTGTTGTAATTTTTGTAAATATTTTTCTCTCTATAGAACCTCCAATGGTATTGTGAATTTTCATATATTTTTTGTAAATTTTCTAATTTTCATTGTTAATCTTCTTATTTCACCTGTTCATTAATATTTATATGTTTACATTTATTTTGTCATATATTTTTCTTTGTATCAAATGATTAAATGGATTAAATGATAAAAATATAACTCACATTTGACCAGCAAAAATATGTCTATGAAAAATGAAAATTTGGTTATTAACAAGAACGCTTAAGGGTGATGGATTTGCATTAGTTAGAGTTGTTTTAGTCTTTTTCTCTCGTCAATTTAATTTTATGATGGGGCTTGAGAAATTGATTTAAAGTTTTAGATTTTTTTTTAGCAGTTTTTGTTTAATAAATCCAACAAGTTAGAATGAAAGTAAAGAGTAAAGACTTGCAGGATTTTTCACATCATTACACTTGTTATTCTACGCAGAGTACTTGTTTGGTTGTTTATTAGCATTTATAAATTTATTAATCTATGAATACAATAAACTATAATTTTTAGAATGAGAAAATCAATAAAATTAAGTAGGATTAAATAAAAGTATTAATGTATTTTTTCAAATCAACATATTATAATTATTTAAACATTACTAATCATTTAAATTTTAGAGGAGTTTAAGAAAATTTTGTAAGAATAGAATAAATTGCAAAAATGTAAATTAAATGAAATGTAAAGTATATAACGCACAATTAATAATACAACAATACGACACTACATTAGGCCATTACTGTATGGATTTGATATATCCCGTATTTTATGTTTTCTTCCTCAAGGGCTTTTTTACCAAAATACGATAAACAGTAAAACTTTTTACCAAAATGCTACACTTTTGAAACTATTTACCAATATGTTGCATTTAAAATCGTTCTTGACGTGAACGATTTTCAAATTACACACATGGCGTGAACGATTTCAGAAATCGTTCTTGGCGCGAACGATTTCACTTTTAATTTTTTTTTAAATCAAAAAGT